TGGGGCCACCCCTGATGGTGACATCAAGCCTCCGTCTCCATCAGCTGCAGGCAGCTGTGCCCTCTTCCTGGTCATCCCCTTTTTCTTTTCTACCTATGCGTCTCCCAGGTCAGAGATCTGCTGGGCTTGGAGGCCTGGAGATATCTACCTTTTTTTTTTTTCAGTATGGGATTTGAACTCAGGGCCTCAGGCTTGCTCAGCAGGTGCTCCTCTGCTTGAGCCACGCCACACTTTTGCTTTTGTTTTTCAGATAGGGTCTCTTGAAAACTTTTGCCCCAGTTGTTCCCTGGCCGCATCCTCCTACCTTGCCTCCCTAGTAGCCGGGATTACAGGTGTGTACCACCATGCCCTGCCTGAGACATCAAGACATCTACTTTTATTGTCATTTGTAGAAAGGCTTCTCAGGGTGAGAGGCCTTAATCATATACTGTTTGAAAATAGAAACTGCTGTGCAAATGCTACGTCCAGCATAGTAATAATAATTCTGTTTTGAACAAGTAGAACTTGTTAAATCAGACAGATGCTGTTGCACTATTTAAAGCCAGTGTGACGGGTATGCTTTATGCAAAAATGGTGATTGTAGGAAAATTGCCAAATCTCCCCCCCCAAAGTTAAGTGCTTTGCTCTGTGGTTGGGCCTATGATATTTCCTCTTGGGGATGAGAAGACCTTTGTAAGTGGGGGGCAAATGCACAGCAAACATTTATTGAGCACCTGCTGTAAATGAGGTTTTTGACATTCAGCCTCATACCTGAGTCTTGAAGTAACTCTTGCTTTTCGGACTTTCTAGGAGCTAAAAGCTGAGTTCTGAGAGGTTAGGTGACTTGCCCAAGGTCACACACCTGTGGCATGGCCTTGAATCCGGGGCCTCTGATCTGCAGGTCCTTATGCTTTCCACTGAATCTCTGAAACTGTCCAGGTTTGAAAGTCAAGGACAGCCCCTGATTTTCTTGTCATACCCTCCCCCCTCCCCCCCGTTTTCTCCTCCCTCTCCCCCATTAGAGCAGCAGCAGCAGCAGGAGGCTTGGGCTTCAGCAAGAGAAGCGTAGTTGGAGTCGGCACCAGAAGCCGACTCTGGAGAGCGTTTCCTCTCACTTCTGCAGATCGTCGAAAAAGATGACCACAGGGTTCTTAAAACAACCTGCGCTTACTCTCTCGCCATCTGGAGACCAGAAGTCAGAAACCAAGGTGCCACAGGGCTGTGCTCCTCCCAAAGATTCTGGAGCCGTTCCTGCCTGGACCCACAGGGCCCCAATGGTCACCAGCAACCATGGCATTTCCTGGCTTGTAGCTGCCATCAGTGCGGTTTCCCGCCTCCTTTTTTTTTTTTCAGTACTGGGATTTGAACTCAGGGCCCACACCTTGAGCCACTCCACTAGCCCTTTCTTGTGAAGGATTTTTTGAGATAGGGTTTCGTGAACTATTTTGTCTGGGCTGGCTTTGACCTGTGATCCTCCTGATCACTGCCTCCTGAACAGCTAGGATTACAGGCATGAGCCACCGACGTCCAGCTACATGGCCTCCTTTTAAGGACCTCAGTCGTTGATTTTGCCACCCTACTCCACTCTGACGTCATCTTAACAAATTACATCTGTAAAGACTCTTTTAAATAAGGTCACTTTCTGAAGTTCCACGTGGGGGGGACACTGTTCGGCCTACAGTGGCCCATATTGGGCAGTGCAGGCTCGCTCTCTGCGTGAAAGTCAGGCCACGTCCCTGAGGACTCAGGACTGTGTTCGGCGTCTCAGGCCACCACTCACATCCATATCCTGTAGTGTGAGAAGGGATCAGGCTCTTGCAGGGTGGATGAAGTGGCACCTTGGGGGAGAGGTGGCTTAAGGACCATAGGCCCTGAGGAATGGGGTGGGGTCTGTTTCACATCTCCAGTCTGTCCCCCTGGCTGGCATCTGCATGGGCTGTTTGTGTCCTGGGATCTCTGATTAGAATTTAGGACAGGTACCTGGTCTGTCTCCACACTGAGCACTTCCTGTCCTGACGGGGGTCCTGAGCCTGGCTTGGCTGTCCCTGCTGGTCAGAGACCTGACCCAGCAGGTGTGGAGGCTTCTCGGCTTTCTGCACGGCGCCTCCTTCTGTCCTCTCCACACTGGTTCCATCAGAGGATCACTGTCTTGTCCCTTGGTCAGCTGGAAAGCATCCCCCAGGCTGCATCTGGAACTGCTTTCAGCCCCCCACTGGGCATGAGACTTCCTGTCACTTGTGCCCTCAGCAGGAGTGCATCTCTCCTGAGGATGAGGATTGGTCAGAGGTGGGACAACCCTAGCTGCCCGAGTGGACTGTGGCCCTCATCTGTCAGGGCCGGGTGTGTGAAAAGGTGCATGCACATGCATGGCACTGGGAAGAAATTGGGGGAAATGTCTAGAATTACCTCCTTAAGGAAAGTATAACGAGAAAGGGCTGACACCCCACCCAACCCAGGTCTCTTTTGCTGCATCTTTGCTATGCTCCTTTACTATTTAAAGACTGTGCTAGGATGTTCTTTATGCAAAAATGCTTGTTGGGGGCTGGAGATGTGGCTCAAGTGGTAGAGCGCCTGCTTGGCAAGTGTGACAGTAGCAGTGACATCACTAATTCCTCGGTGCTGATTCCCGAGGGCACTGCTCTTCTACGCACTTCACTTGGATTTCCTCATTCAGTCCTCACGAAGGACTCTGTGATGTAGCCACCATCACCATTAATAGCTCCATCTTAAACAAGGAGAATGTAGAGTGCAGAGAAGTTAAGCGACTTGCCCAGCATCACACAGCTGGCAAGAGACAGCTTCATCCCATTTCTCTTGTTTTATTGTGAACAAGTATTCCTTGACAGTTTGGAGACCAGAGAGAAATATTCCTGCTTCCTCTTGCCTAAGGATTTTTATTTTATTTATTTATTGCATACTGGGGTTTGAACTCAGGGCCTCACACTTGCTAGGCAGGCACTCTACCACTTGAGCCACTCCACCAGCTCGTCTTGCTTTAGTTTGCCTTTAAGTAGAGTTTGTGTCTTTTGCTTGACTCAAACTCTTGATTCTTCTACCTCTGTCTCCAGAGTACCTGGGATAACAGGCGTGTCGCACCACACCTGCCTCCCCGCAACCAGGACTTTTTAAACATAGGAAGCACCTGTCTTTCAAACCTCTTTTCATGCTTACTTTTTTTTCCCTCCCGGTGGTACTGGGGTTTGAACTCAAGGTCCACACCTTGAGTCACTCCACGAACCCCCCCACCTATTTTTTGTGGAAATAGGGTCTCGAGAACTATTTACCTGGGCTGGCTTCAAACTGCAATCCTCTTGATCTCTGCTTCCTGAGTAGTTGGGATTACAGGCGTGAGCCACCGGTGCCTGGCTCATTCTTATTTATAATCTCATAGATTGGCAGTTGAATTGTGTTCTCCAAAAAATAGATAAGCTGGGGTCCTAGCCTACGGGGCTGGCGACTGTGACTTTATGTGGAAATAGGGATTGGGGCTTTGCAGATGTGATCAAGCTAAGAAGACGAGATCATACTGGATTAGGATGACTCCTGGTTCAATCACTGGTGTCCTTGTAAAAAGAGGAAATTTGAGCAGAGATGGGGTGGTGTAGCCACAAGCTAAGAACCATCCAGGATTGCCAGGAGCCCTGAGAAGCTGGAAGAGAGCTGAGGAAGGGTTCTTCCTGGGGTTCCGGGAGGAACCAGGCAGGTTCAGTGCTGCACTTCTGACTTGCATCCCAGGGCTGTGTGTGGCAGGGTTGTTTTAAGCCACTCAGTTTTGTGATACTTTGTTGCAAAAGCTGTGGTATTTTACATTCAGGAGTTTTTTGTTTGCTTTTGCCAAAATTGGCACTGAGAAACTAAACTGAAGTGTGAGAAGGTGGCCTGTTCTATGTATGTATGTGTGTGTGTGCATGCATGTGTGCACGTGTCTGTGGGGCTCCTCTCTCCCTCTTCCTGTCATCTGCCTTTCCCCTTCCCCTGCCTTCCTGTCTGCCTTGCCCCTGCCTGTTCCCCCCTGCTGTTGTTCTTTATGAATGGAGCCATTGCAGGGTTTCTCCTTACAGAAGGTGGAGGGGGGAGAAGGGAAGGTGGCCCAACAAGACAATTAGCCACCGAGGGTCGCCACTATGCCTTCTCGCTGTGTCTTCTAGGCTGGGTGAGTCACTCAACCTAGAAGAGGTGGGGTTTACAGACCTGAGCAGAGCCCAGGTCATATACTTCCTGTTAAGTGTGACCCCAAAGACCCAATCCCTTGGACAGGGAAACACAGAGCTTAAACCAGAGGGTGCAAACTTGGAAAGGCAGAGGGTGAGGTAAGAATCAGAGGAAGTGGGATGACTGTGTCGAAAGCCAGTGGCTTCCTGGGGAATGGCCCCAGGGCTGTCCTGCACAGGAAGACACACCAGCAGCCGGGTGCTGTCTCAGTAGCGGGGCTTCAGTGGGTAAATACCACACATGTCACCTAATAAAATAATACACACTGAACAGCATAAGGAAACACATTCTCCACACAGAAAGGCAGCAGCAGAGCTAATGGCGAGGTGAAGGTGAATACCTTCAGGATCCTGGGAAGAATTCATTCTTAGGAAGCCAGTGGGAACTCACTGGAGTTTTAATAGTTGGCAAGTCCCGGCCGGTGTGACGCTGGAGAGAGACAGTGCCTGGGGAAAAGGGCTCCGTCACATGGTTCTGAGTGGGAGTTCCAGGCGCTGCCCTTTGACATACACGGGCATACGTGCAGACATACCTGGCTCGTGCAACTGTGGACACACCTGCAAACACACCCACTCATGCAGAAGGGACACGCGTACAGAGAGGCCTGAGCTGTGCAATTGTGGGCTCTCCCCTGTGTGGGCATCACGTACACTGGATGGGAAGGCTCAATCTCCATCTTTGCCTGGCTTTCTCTCTCATGACCTGGGGTCACAACTGATGATCCTGGTGCCTTTGCTGACCTAACTGGCCAAGGCTCCAGGAAGGTCACCCATGGGGGATCCTGGCTTACCTCTGACTTCTCCCTCCAGGCTGCCCCCTGGGGCGGGCCTCATTGAGCGGATCCAGGCCATTGCCCAGAATGTCTCTGACATTGCCGTGAAGGTGGATCAGATCCTGCATCACAGCTTAAAGAGTGCGTATGACCACTGCCCCCTGCCCCCCAGTCCCATGCAGGCCCTTGCGCTTGGTAGGGTGGAGCCTTGGGCGGGCAGAACACCTTAGGGGGCCAGACTCCCCGTGACAGCAGCTCACCTGGCTTTGTCCCTGAAGACTGGGTCATCAGGGTCAACAGTTCCAAGAGCAAGGCCACCTGGGGAAGGGTCCTAGGGCCCCTTCTACTCCCCTTGATGTGGGGAGCAGCTTGAGGCTACAGGCCTATATCTGCCCTCCTCAGAAAAAGTAGGGATGCTCTCTGGTAGGTGTTCGAAGTCTGCCCAACCAGGGAGCCATTCCTGTAACTGCTTCCATCAGCTCTGCTGGTTCTGAGCCCAGAAGAAGCTGGGGGTGAAGAGAGAGGCAGCTCTCTGGGCCCCCTGGGGTGGGCTGTTCGGCTGGTGGCCTTTCAGGTGAGAAAACTTGGTGGGGGCTGGGAGGCTGCCATCGCCCTATGCCATTCTGCCCTCACCCTCTCTCCCGGGCCCCTCCCTGGACCCAGATTGGAGCAAGCTGACCTCTCCCTACAGTGTCTGAAGGCCGGAGGGACCAGTGTGAGGCACCCAGTGACCCCAAGTTCCCTGACTGCTCGGGAAAGGTGGAGGTGAGGTTTGGTGGTGGGAGGTGGCCTCTCCTTGGGGACTGTGTCCAGGCCAGCTCTGGATTTCCATCCTGGCTGGGCTGTCCACTGGTCAGGGCCTCTCTGTTCAGCCTGGACAGTCCTGGTACTATTGACTAAGGCCTTAAGAAGCTTGTCTCCCTGGCTACCCACCCTGGTCACTGTCCTGGGGTGAGTCATCTTTGGGGGCTTCAGCCTTTCTTACAGCAAATGAGCTGTTAAATTCTATGTGTGCTGCCACCAGCAGCCTGAGTAAGACCTTGGTCACTGCACTCCGTCTCTGTTCCCTCTTGGTCTAGCCCACAGCTGAACTTAGGGTCTCTCTTGTATCCAAGGGCCAGGTCTGTACATGTGGGGAGTCAGTCCATATCCATGAGGCCAGCTCCCCATGGCTATGGGGAGGGAGTGGGTGTGATCCTTTCTTGGGGATCACATGGAGACAACTGTGGAGTGGGCTTCCCTGCCTCCAGCCCTGGCCAACTGGGAGGCTGCCCCAGAACCTCAGTGAAAAGGAGATGAAGAACAAAAGACAAGGGAGGCAGCCTGGCCCCGCTGCTCCTCCAGGCTCTTCGCCCTAGAACTTGGCCCTTGGGTGTCCTGACCTGGTTTGACCTCCCAGGTCTTCCTCATCCTCTTGGTAGGCCTACCCCCGCCTTCTCTGGGGCCCTTAGAGGCCAGGGCAGAGGGTCCTGGGGCTGGCTTCCTGGTTCAGTTTCTCTTCTTTGCCCTTCCTTGCTGGGTGTTTAGGGCAGGGCATGACATTGAGGGATGCTCTGGGAACCTCCAGGTCCCCAGGGATTGCATGCAGGGGGAACCTGGGAGGTGGTGCTGGCTCCATGCCCAGGCCTGGTCCTCTCCACAGTGGATGCGTGCCCGCTGGACCTCTGACCCCTGCTATGCCTTCTTCGGGGTGGATGGTACCGAGTGTTCCTTCCTCATCTACCTCAGTGAGGTCGAGTGGTTCTGCCCACCCCTGCCCTGGAGGAACCAGACAGCTGCCCGAATGGCCGCCAAGCCCCTTCCAAAAGTCCAGGTAGGCTTTGGAGGTTGGAGGAGCAGCTGGCCTCCCCATGCCAGACATGCTCAGGGACAGAGGAAGGAGACCTTGGCTCTTCCCAGGTGGAATGGGGGTGCCAGCCCCTTTTGATCTGGCGGTAAGTGAGGATGTCAGGGTCAGGATGGATGCAGGCGGGGCCCCTGGCTCTTTTAAAGGCTGGGGGCAGAATGACAGGCAGGCGGCCACCCCAAGAGTGCCCCTTGCATCTTTCATGGTGTGCTGCACAGTGAGCCCTGCTTGAGGATAGGGTGGAGCCCTAAAGGGGCCCCCTTCATGGACTAGATTACAGTAGTAACAGCTGTTGGGAACTAAGGGCTGTGTGTGCCAGGCACTTTATTTGTGATTGCATCGCTTGCTTTTCTTGTGGGATCGTATTTAACAGATAATGGGTCAGAGGCTGGGAGAGTGAACAGGCTGGAGGCCTGCAGGGATTGCGTCATTGCTGAAGGTCAGCCCGTCGCTAGCTCTGAGCACTGTCCATGATGCCTCTTGCAGCAGCTGGGACCCCCATGGGCACTGTTCAAACTGAGCACCTTCCTGGAAGGGCTTGGGCTGGTGGTTCCTCAGAGCTGGGCTAGAACACCTGACCTTGACTGGGGGTGAGTGGCAGAGTGAGAGCAGAGCTCCTTGGCTTGGGGGGGGAGGCTTAGGATGGTGAGAGAAGCTGGAGCTGGCCCCAGCCTCCTGTCCCTGGAGCAGGGGCGGGAAATGGTGGTGGCATAGTGGGAGTGTGGGCACTGAATGCTGAGGTCTGGATGTCCCCCAGGCAGTCTTCCGGACCAATCTGTCCCACCTCTTGGAGATGATGGGCAGCGGGAAGGAGTCTCTGATCTTCATGAAGAAGCGGACCAAGCAGCTTATGGCCCAGTGGACCACAGCTGCCCGACGCCTGGAGCAGAAGCTGGGGGGTGTCCAGAGGGACCAGAAGCAGGTACGGCACCCTCTCGGACAGTGCAGCCCTCAGGGCTTAGGCAATGTGCTTGGAGCACACAGCTTCCATGTGGGCATGGAGAAGGCCCTCATACAAGTGGCACTGAACGTTTTAAAATTTGATTTGGGGGCGGGGTGGGGATGGCAGGGTCAGGATGGATGTAGGTGGGGCCCTGGCTCTCTCTGAGGTTGGGGGCAGAATGACAAGCCCCCAAGGAGTCCTGTGCTCTTTGGACATCCTGTTTGCTCAGGCAGAGAACTTATGATTTTTGTCTGGAAGTCTGGGATAATGTAGCTATCAGGGTTAGCTTATTGGCCTAGCCATCTTTCTATCCATCCATCCATCCATTCATCCATCCATGTAATAGAAAATTACATGTTTATTTCTTTCAGAACCCTTATCATTTCATGAAACTCTCTTGTCTGTGTTTACTATTCTCCACCTCTTCCATCTGGAACGTAAGATCCATGAGGCAGGCACATAACTGCCTTATACACCTGTGTCCCCAGGGCCCAGCATGGTCACCCAGGCTCCTCCTGGAGACCCTGTCTGCTGTGGTTGGTCTCCAGGCTGGTACTCTTGGAAGGGCCCCAGGGTTGGGGGCAGGTCTGACAGGCTTTGTCCTTCCGTGCTGACCCCCTGTGTCCTACCAACCCAGATCCTCGTCCACATCGGCTTCTTGACAGAGGAGTCCGGGGATGTGTTCAGCCCACGGGTGCTGAAGGGCGGGCCGCTGGGGGAGATGGTGCAGTGGGCGGACATTCTGGCTACTCTCTATGTCCTGGGTCACAGCCTGAGGGTCACAGTGTCCCTGAAGGAGCTGCAGAGGTGAGTGCCAGGGCCATGCTGGGGCTGGGGGTGCCGGGGGTGTGGGGGGAAAGGAGATGAAGAAGAGTCTATCCCAGGAGTGGCCGCTCCACCTGCAGATCGCACAGCCCACAGACCCTTGGAGGCTTCCTGCTATTCTGTCAGGTGTTGGCTCCCTGGTTCCCTCCTCACTGGCTCCGTCTGCCTCCCAATGCCTTGCAAGACGCATTTAAGATGCACCAAGGAGCTTATTTGCACAGTGTGGTTCCAACAGGTTCCTGGTCCCCATTTCTGGGCTGATACTTGGGGGTGTGTTTAGGCTCAGACCTTGACTAACACTGACTTGAGGAATTGAGCTGCTTCCTGATGATGGGGTCCCTCTGCCTGCTCTCCTGGGGGGCTGGGTGTGGCCTCTGGGTTTTCTGTTCTGGAAGTGGACTGGTTCACAGACCCATTCTGGGGACCAGAGACCAGTAAGAGCTGGAAGTGCTTGGCGGGCAGAGGACGCCAGCTGTCCTCAGTGCTAGGCTGTCCAGGGTCCCTTTGATGCTGTCAGAGCTGGAGACTGTACCTGACACTTGGGGGGAGGGTACAACCAAAAGGCTGTGGGTGTGGAGGATATGGAGAAAGCAGGATTATGTGTGTAAATGTGAGAAACTGGGTTTATTTTAACCGCTCTTATCTGTGGGATGTAGTAATACTGAAGCTCTTTCTTCCTTTCTTTTTATATTTATTATGGAATATTTGACACATATGAAAGTATATGAAATATATGTTGATGCACAAGATATGATGCGGTATGCATATGGAATGATCTCCTGGGGTTGGAGGCATGGCTCAAGCAGTAGACTGCCTGACTAGAATTATCTCCCAAGATATGACTGTCCCCCTTCAAGACCGAGAGTGTTACCAAGACCCTGTGCCTTCCAGGACCTCCCCTCACCCATTTCTCTACTTACACCCCCCTAGAGGAAACTTCCAACGTAAACTTTGTATTTATTTTTTGCTTTTTATTAGTTTTTCCCAAACTTGTATCCCATAAACAACATATCGCTTAGTTGTGTGTCATTGTAGTTTGGTTTGGAACTCTGTACAAATGGCGTCTACTGAGTTCAGTCATGGCGCACGCCTGTAATCCCAGCTACTGGGGAAGGCAGAGGTAGGAGGATCGTGGTCCAAAATCAGCCCAAAGTTAGCATAAAGCCCAATCCATAAAACAAACCAAAAGCAACAGGGCTGGATGTGTGGCTCAAAGCATAGAGCACCTCTCTAGCAAACCTGAGGCCCTGAGTTCAAACCTCACTACTGCTGAAAAAAAGTACCTACTGTATACATCTCTGAGACTTGCTTTTTTTTCACTCATTATGTTTCAAAAATTCATCATGTCATATTTTTCATTCATTTCACTACTGTATAATACTCCATTGTGCCAGGTGCCAGTGGCCCACACCTGCAATCCTAGCCTCTTAGGAGGATCATGCTTTGAAGCCAGCTCGGGCAAAGAGTTCACGAGACCCTATCTCAAAAATATTCAACTCATAACAGTGTTGGCGGAGTGGCTCAAGTGGTAGAGCACTGAGTTCTAGCCTGCCTAACCTTGAGTTAAATTTCCAGTACCAGAAAAAAATATTCCATTATTTGAATGTACTGCAGTTATTTATTAATGTCTCCTATCTGTGGACGTTTTTCCTGCTTTAAAAATTTATGGTACTGGGGTTTGAACTCAGGGTCTACCACTTGAGCCACTCCACCAGCCCTGTTTTGGCGTTGGGTATTTTTGAGATAGGGTCTCTCAAACTGTTTGCCTGGGCTAACTTTGACCCCGATCCTTCTGATCTCTGTCTTCTGAGTAGCTAGGATTATAGGAGTGAGCCACCGGCACCTGACCGAATTCTGCGGTAGACGGTCCCCGGGCTGGGAACTATCTCAGAGAGCTGGTGCTAAGCTCACAGTATGTTTTAGTCCAACTGCCCAGGGATACATTCTTCAATTGAATACATCAGAGACAAATGGTTCAATTGATCCAGTTTCTCTTGGGTATAGAATTATGTGTGTAATTGCTGGCGTTTAGGGTGTGTGAACATTCAGCTTTCCAAGGCAATGACAAATTGTTTCCTAACAGGATCGCACCAATTTGCAGTCCCACCAGTGTGTGAGCTCCCGCTGGCCACGTGTGTCCCCGCCCCCATCACCCAACTTCCTCTGAAGGTGCCTCTCGTCCGACTTAACTTGCATTTCCTGACAACTACATTTCAGGCCCACCAGCCGGTCACGTGTTTATTTGCCTAGTTTCTTACTGATGAACTCCTTATTGATATTTTTCGTCCCCTTTCTGCCAGGTTACCTTTTCCTTATTGAGCTGTAGGGGTTCTTTATATATTATGGTATAAATCCTGTGTTAGTCTTCTGTGTGAAAAATTGCATAATTTGCAGCTTGGTTTTACAATTTTTTTAAATGTTTTTTACCCCCAAGAATAGAAACTCTTAATTTTAACTTAGTCAAAGTTATCCATCTTTTTCTTTATGGATAAGGGTTCTGTGCTCAGTGGAATTCTAGTTTTCCTTTTTGCTGACTTTTTGACAGGCTTGCTCTAACTTTTTCTGGGGCATAGCTGGGGAAGGCCCCCCAACTTGTGTGCATGTAATCCACTTTTCCCCATCAACCCATTAACTTATTCTCAGGTAGTTTTCTGAGGAAACTCGGTTCTCCTCAGGAGCCTGGCTGCTCTCTTGGTGGTGTGCCCTTTCTAAGTGTCTCTCTCTTTTTGAAAGGCCTTGCATCCTGGCACTTTGCAGCCCAGAGGAGAGTGGTGATTGGGACAGAGCCACAGGCAATCCCCGGTCGAGAGGGCCTGGGAGTTCCAGTCCTGGGCGGATATATTTCTTACTGCCACTTGGACTCTACCAGACGGAGTGTCCATGACCAGTGGGTTGAGCAGGGAGAGGAGGAGGCTGGGTCTGAAACTGGAGTTTTAGGCCCCTGGCCCAAACTCCTGGGGTTCCACATGTCGTGTTCGGCCATGCATCACTGTATGCAAATAAAGTGACCTGGTAAAGGGCAGAGAAAGGGGTTTATTCCACAGCAGGGCACGCAGCCATGGAAAGAGGCAGAGTAAGCACGTCAGCCCATCTTCAGCCATCTTTGGGGTATAGACGTGAGCTTTTGGCTTAAACAGACAAAGAACTTGGGGCAGAGAGGGAAAGAAGACGTAATTATTAAACAGCCAGTCCTGGTCAAAGTGTGGCCTCGTTGGTCATCTGGAGGGGTTCTGGGGAGGTTGTTATGATGTCATCACTTGAGGGGAGCAATCTGGTCAGGATAAGGAAGTCATCGTTGCCTGGTCTGTTTGGTGGAGGCTCTGCTGGTCCTGTCCTTGGGAGCAGTTTCCTCCATCTCTCCTCACAAGCATGATATTGGATCAGTCTTGTTCTTCCTGGATTCCAAGATGACTGCAAGGCAAATGGCTCAGAGCAAAGACAGATACAACATGGAGGCAGGGATGTCAAGCTTTTCTTCTGCTTTCATTTAATTCGTGGGCCCAGGTGAGGAGTCAACGCTTTTCAGCAAAAGCACTTTCTAAATACCTGCTACAAGTCTGGGTTACATCATCAGGGTTACACTATTCAATGAAGTAGTGACCCCTGAAATTCACACCACTGGAATCATTCTTTGTTGGTAACACAGTTGATCCGCTAGACCGGGTGAAGAGGTATTTCCAGAGAGGAGTAGCATATGTGGGACAGGGACAGGAAGGTGGTGGGACTAGTGACAGATGGCACAGCTGCGGCAATGTTGGAAAGCCCAGTGTGGAGAAATAGGCCCTCTGCCTGCCTCTGCTGGTCAGTCACCAGAGCGGAAAAGAACGGAGTGGGCGCTGTCCCCCAGTGCTGGTGCTAAACCACAACAAGCTCCCACATCTGGGAGAGGCAAACAGCATGTCCCTCACTCTGTCACCCTAGTGGCACCTGTTGGCAGAGCCAGCTGTCCATGTTTTGCAGGCCACCTCAGAGCGGAGGTGTGCCCCTTGCCACCTGCCAGCATCCACTGTTGTGCCTTGTGCTGTTCCTGACCGGCTCCTTTGAACAGAGCTCAGGAGATGGGGTGGTGTGAGCCCAGTCTGCAGCAGCAGTCAGGATTTACAGATAGTAAAAGGGCAGTCTTTTTCTGGCCTGAGGGTTCCTGCAGGAAAGTCATGGCTGGGGAAGAGGAGGAGGAGGAATAAGACCAGGGACTTGTGCCTGACCTCAAGCTAGACCTGTCTCAGGCAGAGCTGCAAGTGACAGTCTGGTGGGTCACTAGAGATGCCAGGTTCAGGGGAACAAATCCTGAGAGTGTCTAGGGACCAGGCTGTGCCACACAGAGACCCTTGTGAGTCGGGAGTACCCTCTGTCAGAATCACCCACACCACATCCACTTCCAGGTCAGATGAAGTCCCTTTTATCAGTGTACTCAGCCAGTTCCTCCCCTCTGACCAGCAGGATCTGGGCAAGAGAGGTGACAAGGAATGTCCTTCCATGAGTCCTACCCACTCACTTAGTTGCAATCGTGTTTGGTTTTGGTGGTACTGGGGTTTGAACTCAGGGCTTTGTGCTTGGAAGGTGGGTACTCTATTGCTTGAGCCACTCCTCCAGCCCCTACCCACTCACTTAGAGGATATCCTTCCAGAGAGCAGGGAGCTGATGGGTCTCTTTGACAGGCGGGAACTTGACTCAGTTGTTCTGCTGCTCAGCCTGTGTCTCGGCTTCTCTCTCTCTCTCTCTCCTGTGTCCTTACCCTCAAGCTCTGCCAACTCCTGTGGCTGCTCCCCAGGCCCTGTGCTGAGCCTGGGGTCAGCATGGCCGCCATTGCCCTTCAAGACATAGTAGTGACCATGGGGGTTGCTGCTCTTGGGAGGCCCTGATGCAAAGTACCAAGAGGGAGTTACCATCTCCTGGTGGGATGCTGCCATTGCCTTCAGTCACACACGTGCACATTCACAAACCCACATGCACACACAAACTGCACCCCACTCACACGCACG